GATGCTGTTTCGCAGCCAGCTATGAAACCTTTCTCGCCGAGAAGTAGGCGTGAAAAATCTACAATACGTCGAAATATCTCGCCACGACTGATTGGACTTGACGTTTTCCCGATAACAACCTTACATTCGCCCCAGTATCATCATCCACCTGCGCACGACCGCGCGTATCTCGTCGCGCTCGCCCGTTGACCTGGTTCCGTTCCGCGCTCGGAGTTACGAGCCGCGGGACCGCCTATCAACTACTACCCAAAGATAAAACTTTCACGGTGTGTGTTGTCCCGCTCGAATCCACCGCGTACACGGGACGACGACACGCGCCCATCCGCCGACTCGGAAACTATGTTATCAATGCAGCCAACGTTGTTGCGTAACATTGGAGGAAGTGTAAACTCGTATAAACACGGCACGGGTCGCTGGATTCCTCCGCGAATCGACGACACCACACCACACCACGCGACACACCAGCTTATCTCGAGGACAACCGTATCGGTGATTCCAAAGCACTCCCGGGGGGGGGGGGGGGAAAAGAAAAAGAGAAAACAAGACACACTCCCGCGTTCGACGTCCGAACTGAAATATGAAATAAAACGATCGCGCTTTCAATTGATTGCACGACCGACCCATTTATATGTATATGTATATATATCGTGTCACCGACGATACGACTCGACGAGTTCGTCGAATCGAAAATTATAAAATGCTAACGTGACAAAGCGGGCACCGCGTAATCTGTAGTTTGCTGTAATTTGCTGATTCGCCGTTGTTATTAATCGTTAGATTGCAGAGTGCAAAGTAGAGCGCGGTCAACGATACACGGCTACACTAGCGCCAATGCGAGCGCTAACTACACTGCTCGCAAAAGTTAAGGGACACCGGGATGCGTTGACTTTGCGTTTGATTTCGGTTTGATTGATCGTCGTCGTTGACGTTTATTTCATTACAAATAATTTTAAATACATTGCGAGAAAGGCTGAAAGTACTGGAGTAGTACTTGGGAATATCCCCTGACTTTTGCCAGCAGTATATTCGAAAATTAGTAATTCCGTGTTCTAGGTGACGATGATTCCTTGCATTTGCAAAGTTGATAACCACTGTTGCAACGTACTGTCACCCACCGAAAAAACAGATGATCATGAACGCGGCGTATAAATTGGATTTAAAAACGGAGATGCTTAATCCGGTCATGCAAACGGAATCACACACAGGATTATCCAAAGTAATTCAATTAGGATTTGTAGAGTCAATTTCACCGCAAGGACACCGCTATTTACGCCTGAAAATCTGGAAAATAACGCCGCGGTCGTGCTACTATATCTCGGCGAAGTGTGATTTTTCACTTAAAACATCGAGTTGCGCGTTTAATGGCTGCGCCATTAAATTTTATGTCACACACACACGCGGTTACCTTATACAAAGAGTATTTCAATGCGCGTTTAAGCATATTTAAAATGGTCCGATAATTCATCTTGTCGTTTAATTGCTCGCTTAAAACTGGCTGTTTAATTTAATTTCACAAGTTACACAGCTAATCTACTACACAGGGCGAGTCAATATGCATTTAAAGTCGGAAGTAACTAAGAAGGAACGAAAATAATTTGAATAATTAATAATTCATCTTGTTCGTACAGGCTCACTCTCTTCCCGTGATTACGTCACGACGTAACACATCACCATGCAATGTGAAAATCACAACAGCGCTATTTAATAACGCATATATAAAATAACGATTGCGATTTAAAGACGAGAGACAAGATCGGATCCAGCTAAGGCACGGTAATCTAATTTCCCCGGTTTCTCGGTTAGTTAGAAATCAAGCAAACACGGCGGCGATTCGTTGGAAAGTTGGGTGAAAAAAAAAAAAAAAAAAA